GGGCTATACTCGCTATAGAGTACCCCACTGCAGGCTAGACAAATATCACATTGTGACACACCCTCATAGCCAAAGTGGGGTATAATCAGCACAGCAAGCATTCATAGAGCAGGTTCACAAGCACAAGCAAAGTTAGAGGCATTCACAAAGGGCAAGTGAGGAGGAGGCGGGACTGTGAGAGGAGAGGAATAGGAGGCGACGGCTGAAGCTGCAGACACACGGGTAACAGGAGCAGCTGGCACAGCGGCTACCGGAGCAGCGCCCCGGAGTACTGGAGTAACTGGCTCCGCAGTTAAGACGAGCGGCAGGAGCAACGGACCCACGGACGACTGGTGCAGCAGGCTCGTTGGGCTACCGGAGTAGAGCCCCGGACTACTGGTGCTGCTGACGACACGACGGCTACCTCCGGTCAACCCCGTGTCACCCCCCTAGCGCGACTCCCACGGCTCCCACACACCCAACCCCCTCAGCGGCAGCTGCAGCAGTGGGAGAGAGAGGAGGAGGAGGAGCAAGGGACGACGCACAGCCGCCACCCCCATACCCGCCACCCCCACACTCCCAACGCAGGCGGAGCAGAAACGCGAGCAGCAGTTGGGGCGGCGTGCGAGCAGAAGCGGGGCAGCGCGCGGTCCCTGGGGCACTGTGACGGGCGATAGACAGGGCGCCGCGCGGGCCCTCAGGGCGCCGCGACGAGCGACGGTAGGGGGCGACGCGCGGGCCCCCAGGGCGCTGCGACGGGCGACGGGAGGGGGGGCGACGTGCAGGCCCCCAGGGTGCCGCAACGGGCGACGGGTAGGGTGACGCGCGGGCCCCCGGGGCGCCGCGACGGGCGACGGAAGGGGGGTGACGCGGGGCCCCCGGGACGCTGCGACGGGCGACGGGAGAGGACAGCGCGCGGGCCCCCGGGGCGCCGCGACGGGCGACGAAACCGCCGCGCGCGCCCGGGGTGCGCGGCGGGCAGGAAACCGCCACACGCCCCAAGTGCGTGGCGGGCAGAAAGCGCGCGGCGGGAAGAAAAAACGCCACGCGCGCAGGGTGCGCGGCAGGCAGAAGACGTCGCGCGCCCGAGGCTCGCGACAGGTAGGAAAGCAGCGGAAGCAGGTGGGCCCACAGGCCAAGAGCGATCTCGCTCTGATAGCATGTCAAAATCAGTAGTAGAAAGTTAGAATAGAAATGGGGGTTTGCACTAGCAGGCAGTTGAGTACATTGGGCTATACTAACCCTAATTTGGGCTATACTTGCTATAGAGTACCCCACTGCAGGCTAGACAAATATCACATTCTGACAACGTCCTTGAAGATAACACCAAGAACGAGTCACCCTTTATTCTCATTACAAACAGGCCAATAGCTTTGGTATAAAGCCTACCTAGAGGCATGCTAAACAGGCAGCATCTACACTCCAACGTTCTTCCCGACTGAAACAAACCCCAACAATACACTACAAGCACAGCGCAACTACGCAAGTGCATGATGCTGTTGCTGTTGGTGCAGGCTGATGCATGACTTGATGTGCGTTGAAAGATTACATCGTTACGAGGGGACGGTGGCAATTATGTCTGCGCGATTATATAGTTGCCTTCTTCTTCTTCTTCGAGGCGGTGTGAGCGCATCAAAATTAATGATTTCCACCCTTCCGAAGGGCGTGGGCGTACTTAGCGACTAGACACAATCGTGGTTGCGCGTGCTTACAAAAGGGCACAAGGACAATGCCTTTAGTGCACAAAGTGTTAATACAGAATCAACATTCTGTATTTCAATCTGCCGGTTTGCTGGAGGAGGGCACAATTTTATTCTCAAGCAGCCGCTGAAACATTGAAGCGGATCTACCACAATCGGGGGTTCAAAAACGCTTTTCTGCTTCGACCAATAAGAGCAGCCAATTCAGCTTAAACTTTTATTTTAAGTTCAAGATTTCAGCTCGACAATTCACAGTGGCGAAATCGGTTCGCGCGGCCGTTCAGAAGGGTGTTGTTCTGAACAGTGCCGTTCTGAACAGTGCTGTTCTGAACACAGTTCGACCAATAAGAGTGGCGGAATCAGTTCGGTGCTGTTCAGAACACCGATGTTCAGAACATCACTGTTCAGAACGTTGATGTTCAAAACGCGACTATTCGAGGGAGCTGATTGGATACTGCTCGAGCAGCCTGTTCGAGTGCTCAGAACCTCCGAAACGGCGGCTACACCGAACACAATAAACACGAACATGTCAAACTTATATGCTGCTTATTGTGTAGGCTATACTGGGGTAGCCCATATGGGGTACAACCCAACTAGGGTTTCCTACATACCCATCTTGTTGCTAGTTCATCCACTCCTGTTCGTTATTCTGACATGGTTTCAGAGCACGTCCTAGCCTAGGACCGATTTCTTAGGGCCCACCAAGTAGTGCTACCCCACCCGTCGCGCCACTATGATCGCGTTACCCTGCCCTGCCCTGCCCTGCGTTGCCCGCTGCAGCGTGCACTGCTTTGCCTGCGCGCCGCCTGCTGCAGCGCGCCCTGCTGAGTCGCACGCCGCCTGCTGCAGCGCGCCCTGCCATGCCTGCGTGCCGCCTGCTGCAGCGCGCCCTGCCCTGCCCATGCGTCGCGTCGCCGCGTCGCCCTGCCCGCGCGTCGTGCCGCGCGCCTTGACCTGCCCGCGCGCCGCGGCGCTGCGTGCCCTGCCCTGCCTGCGCGCCTTGCCGAGCGCCGCTACCCTACCCGCACACCGCCACCCTGCCCACGCGCCGCGCTGCCGCGCGCCCTTTCCCACCCGCGCACCGTGCCGCCGCGCGCCCTGCCCAGCCAACGCGCCGCGCCGCCGCGTGCCCCTTCCCTACCCGCGCGCCGCGCCGTGCGCCCTGCCCTGCCCGTGCGCCGCGCCACCGCGCGCCCTGCCTTGCCCGTGCGCCCTGCCTGAGCGCCGCGCCCTGCCCTGCCGCGCGCCCTGCCCTGCCGTGCGCACCTTGCCCTACCACACGCCGCTCACTCCTGCACTACTGCTAGCGCGCTCACTTGCCTAGCCCTGCATGCGTGCTGCTCGACTGCTAGCACACCCGACTACTCTGCCCGCTATGGCCACTCTCAACGTTCTCACCTTCGATTCGGAGGGCCGTCCGATAGAGTTCAATGCGTGGCTAGACGACATACAGCGGTTCCTGCTGACAGACTCTAAGGACGGTACTTTGCTATTTGACCTCACTTCTTGCGCCTCGCCCGCCCCTGCCGCCACAGCTGACAGTGCGACTCGCTCACAGTGGCTTTCCCGTGACATTGCTGCTCGCTTAGCCGTTCGCAACCACTTGCCGTTAGCCGAACGCGCCCACTTTGGCCAACATAAGACAGATAGAGCACTGTACGACGCTGTAGTCGCTCGCTACTCCTCCCCGGCCACTGCTGCTCTTGGCGGCCTTCTCCTGCCCTACCTGTTCCCAGAGCTGTCCGCCTTTGCCACAGTAGCCGACCTAGTCACTCACCTCCGCACTAGTGACATTCGCTACCGTGCTGCGCTCCCCGCCGAGTTTCTCACCAAGAACCCTCCCCCCATGTACATCACACTCTACTTCATAGTCACCCGCCTCCCTGACTCTCATACCGCAGCCAGGGACCTCCTTCTCGCACTTCACCCCACCGACCTCACTGTCGACCTCCTCGAGAAGCATCTCCTAGCACCTGAGACTAGCATAGTCGCTGTATGCGCTTCTCGTGGCACTCCTCGCACCCCCTTCTTTGAGGGGTGTTCGCCCTCCCCCCTTCTCCCCTCAGTCGCCTCTGCTGCAGCTATTGACTACCTTCGTGCTGAGGAGGTAGGAGCTGCATCTGCCCCTAGTGGGAGACGCCGCAGCGGCAGGGGCAGAGGAGGCAGGAGCGGTGGGGGTGGCAGAGGTGGAGGCGGTGGTGGGGGCGGTGGAGGAGGTGGAGGGGGCGACGGTGGAGGAGGTAGTGGTGGTGGGGGTGGAGGGGCAGGTGGCGGCGGTGGTGGCGGCAGTGGGAGTGGTGGAGGCGGCGGTGGTGGCGGCGGTGGTGGCGGCAGTGAGGGTGGAGGCGGCGGCAGTGGTGGCGGCCGAGGTGGTACCAGCCAGAGGGGAGGCCTTGGAGGTGGCCAGAGGCAGCAGCAGCATCAGCCCCTTTCGTATCCAAAGCTCCATGAGTGGTTTGCTCGGCGTGGGGCGGGTGGGGGTGGAGATCGCTGCCCGTATGTCATTCGCACAGGTGACCGCGCTGGTCAGACTTGCGGGCTGCCTCACATGCAGCACCGATGCTTCTCTGGTCTTACCGACGCCTTTCACGCAGAGTTTCCTGATGCGCCTGAGCTCCCTCACTAGGCAGAGCTGCTTAGGCGGAATGTGGATATCTTTGCTCTATACTTTGATGCTATCCTATCTGCCATATATGCATTGCCGGGAGGGACCTCCCCTCCCACCCTCGCCTGCCCCTCCCTCCCTTCCTTGTGTGGAGGGGCGGCAGCGCGCTGCTCCTCACTCCTCCTCGTTCCCCCCGACAAAGGCTCCCCTGTAGACTCTCCATCTGGACGTGTGGGGCCCAGCCCGCGTCCATGGACAGGGCCACGAGCGGTACTTTCTGTTGGTTGCCGTCGACTACACGCGTTACACCACGGTCTTCCCCTTGCGCCGCAAGGGGGAGGTCCCTGATGTTCTGATCCCTTGGATCCACGCTATTTGTCACCAGCTCCGCGAGCGGTTCGAGAAGGACCTTCCCACCCTGCGTCTGCACTCTGACAGAGGTGGTGAGTTCTCCTCAGACCTCTTGCGGGCCTTTTGTCGTGCGGAGGGCATTCGCCAGACGATCACGCTTCCGGCCTCTCCGCAGCAGAGTGGGGTTGCTGAGCGCCGCATTGGCTTAGTCGTGGAGGTCGCTCGTACCTCCATGATCCATGCGGTTGCCCCCCATTTTCTGTGGCCGTTTGCAGTCCAGTACGCTGCGCATCAGCTCAACCTCTGGCCCCGTATCTCCTTGCCGGAGACCTCGCCCACACTGCGTTGGACGGGGGAGGTTGGCGATGCGTCGCGTTTCTGGGTCTGGGGATGTCGAGCCTTTGTCCGCGATACGTCCGCGGACAAGCTCTCCCCTCGCGCCATTCCCTGTGTCTTTCTTGGCTTTGTCCTTGACGCGCCTGGCTGGCAGTTTTACCACCCCACCTCGCGCCGTGTCCTGCCCTCTCAAGACGTCACGTTTGACGAGTCGGTTCCCTCTACCTGGTCCTGCTCCCTCAGATGTGGCCCAGTTAGCCCCTGTTGCTGAGCCTGGGGGTGCTGAGCATGGTGGTGCTGAGCCTGGGGGTGCTGAGCCTGGGGGTGCTGAGCCTGAGCGTGCTGCGCCTGGGGGTACTTTGGCTTCTGGAGGTCCTCCGGGTGTCTTGTCCGGTCGGGAGACGCTCTCTCCACTACAACTGCGCGAGTGGTTTGCTCGGCGCTGGAGCCTCCTGAGTGGTGCTGCTAGAGCTGGAGCTGCGGGAGGTGCTGGAGCCACTGGTCCCGGAGGTGCTCGTACTGGAGGTACTGGAGCTGCTGGGGCTGGAAGTGCTGCTGAAGCTGCTCGAGGTGCTGCTAGAGCTGGTTCTGCTGGAGGTACTGGCACTACTGGAGCTGGAGGTGCTGCTGGAGCTGGAGCTGCTGGAGGTACTAGAGCTACTGGAGCTGGAGGTGCTGCTGGAGCTGGAGCTGTTGGAGGAGCTGCTGGAGCTGGAGCTGATGGAGGTATTGTGGCTGCTGGGGCTGGAGGTGCTGCTGGAGCTAGAGCTGGAATTGCTACAAGAGCTAGAGCTATTGGAGGTACTGGTGCTGTCGGTGCTGGTTCTGGAGGCACTAAGCGACCGCGAACGTACTTCGTTCCCTTGCTTCAGCAGGTTCTTGGTCTCCCGCCTTCTACTGACCTTTCTCCTCCTTTACTGTATCCACCGCCTAACCAGTCCCAACCGCAGTTACAGCCAGCCTCCCCACTGCCTGCTCCTTCTCCTTACACTGAGCTGCCCGAAGGTCTTACAGAGCGACGTGAGCCTGCGTCTCGTCCTACGTCGCCTGTTCGCGCTGCTCGCACTGGTCGTCGTGTTCCGCGTCAGCGTCCTCCTCCTGTCCCCAGCACGCACCAGATGGCACTTCGTCCTTCCTCTGTTCCACTGCATGTCCCTCTGCCGTTTCCTCCTGCGTCCTTTCTTGCTGACGGTCCGGACCCAGAGTCTGACTCACTTCGTGCTGCCAGCCCTACTGTCACGCGTCTGCTAGTTATTGTTGTCACTGACCCTTCCTTTGAGTCCACTTGTGCATCTACTCTTCTTGCTCAGCTTGTTGACTTTGCTGCTGCCTGTCGTCTAGACTATGCCGCTAGTCTTGTTGCTGAGTCTGAGTCTGTCTGTCCTCCGTCCGTTGGGGGTGAGTGTGCTCTTCGCACGGACGTCCTTGAGGACAGGCAGGAGGACTTTGAGTGTCTTGCAGCTGCTGTACCTCATCTCGTGGCCATGCTTCTTGCCCCTGAGGGAGACCCGGATGCTCCAGACATCCCGACCTCGCGCTCTTACGCTGAGGTGATCGCGGGTGAGTACTCCTCTCAGTCGCAGACAGCCATGGACGCAGAGATGGCATCCTGGAAGTCCACACGCACTTATGTCGACGAGGTTCCCCCACCTGGGGCAAACATCGTCAGTGGCATGTGGATTTTAAGGGTGAAGCGGCCACCGGGTTCTCCGCCTCTCTTCAAGGCGCGTTACGTTGCACGAGGCTTCAGTCAGCGATCCGGATTTGACTTCTTCCAGACCTTCTCCCCTACCCCGAAGATGACCACTCTTCGGGTACTACTGCACGTCGCTGCTCAGCGTGACTACGAGCTTCACTCTCTTGACTTTAGCACTGCTTTCCTACAGGGCAGCCTGCAGGAGGAGATCTGGCTGCGCCGCCCACCTGGCTTCACTGGGTCATTTCTTGCAGGTACCCAGTGGAGCCTCCGGCGGCCAGTCTACGGTCTCCGCCAGGCGCCTCGCGAGTGGCACAACACACTTAGGACGACGCTTGAGGCTCTTGGGTTTGTTCCTAGTACTACTGTTTCTACACACCGACACTTCACTGCCGCCGTTCTACATCCTCGTGTACGTCGACAACTTGGTCTTTGCCACTATTCACACTGCTGGACTCGCCCACGTGAAGTCGGAGCTACAGAGGAGACACACGTGCGCAGACCTGGGTGAGCTGCGCAGCTATCTTGGTTTGCAGATCACCCGGGATAGAGCACAGCGCACCATTACCTTGACTCAGTCACACATGGTGCAGCAGCTCCTTCAGCGCTTCGACTTCAAGTACTCGTCACCACAGTCCACTCCTTTGCCTACTGGTCACTCGCTCTCAGCTCTGCCTTCGGATGAGTCCGTAGAGCCGAGTGGCCCGTATCCAGAGCTTGTGGGCTGCCTCATGTACCTGATGACCTGCACTCAACCTGACCTTGCTTACCCTCTTAGCATCCTGGCACGCTACGCTGTGCCTGGGAGACACTGACCAGAGCACTGGAAGGCCGCTAAGAGGGTGATGCGCTACTTGTGCAGTACGTCGGGCATGGGGCTCATGCTTGGAGGATGGGCTCGATTTGTCCTCACTCGTCACACAGACGCTTCTTGGGTTGACGACTTGGCTACGCAGCGGTCCTCACAGGGTTACACCTTTAGCCTTGGCTCTGTTTCTGTCTCGTGGCGGTCCACCCGCTCGTCCTCTGTTCTCAGCTCCAGTTGTAAGGCTAAGATATACGCAGGGGCCATGGCTGCATAGGAGTTACGCTGGCTTACCTACTTGCTGACCGACTTGGGAGAGCCGCCTCGTTCTCCTCCAGTTCTGTACGTCAACAACACAGCCATGATTGCCTTGTGTCAGGAGCATAGACTGGAGCACAAAACGAAGCACATCGCTTTGCGCTACTTGCTTGCTTGAGAGTTGCAGCGGCGTGGTCAGCTTCGTCTTGTTTACGTGGCCTCTCAAGCCAACACTGCTGATATATTCACCAAGGCACTTCAACTTTGTGATCATCAGCGTTTCTATACTATTCTAGGCCTTGTGCCTACTTTGCCTCACTTGCTCACTTCTTGACATTGCCTGTACTGTGATCTATATACCTATATTTGCAAGTTTACACTTGCTAGGTTGTGATCACTGTACTGCTTGTTCTCCTTTATATATAACTCTGCATGTGAACTGGCCTTGTGGCCGTTTGCTTGTTCTCAGAATGCGTGGTGACTTCGTGATCCACCCTGAGCTTGCTTTGCCTTTCTTGACTGGTCTTGTGACCTCTTGTTCTCCCCCACTTTGCCTATGGGGGTGTGTCAAACTTATATGTTGCTTATTGTGTAGGTTGTAGTGGGGTAGCCCATATGGGGTACAACCCAATTAGGATTTCCTACATGTACCCATCCTGCTGCTAGTTCGTCCACTCTTGTTCATTATTCTGACTGCACACCTGCTCACGTGTTTTGAGCGAAGAGTCTTCTGCCAACTCAACTCGCGAGTGGAGTTCCGAACTTGACTTTTTGAACACCGTTTGAACGGATTGATTCAAGCCGTTATCAAAATGGCGTGAACGTTCCCTCCTGAATCTTGGTCGCCAAAATAAGTCTTGGTGCGAGCATTTTCGAAATGACTCGCTGGCGAGGCGCCAACCCGCCAAGTCACACCCTGAATTTAGCAAAACGCGAAATGCTCGCGCAGCGTTCAGAATAGCCATTGTGTAGAGGTGTTTGTTAGCATTAGGAATTGCCTAGAGGCTATAAATATGTATGCTCTGAATTTTGAAATACACACTTGCCTACCAAATGCTATTGGCATATTACTACCTGTTCAACGTCAAGGAATTCTCTGCCTACGCTGTGATAAGGAGTTCCACCGCTGCTACTCTACATTGCTGAGTTACTCTTTCGACAAACTCAGACCCTTGGATTGGAGCTGACTTCGGTCAGGCACCCCGAGAAGAGTTTTCTCAGTAATAGTTAAGTCATTAGTGGTAGGAACTAGGTGCAATTTAAGTAACACAAAGAAGTGGTGGTTTTTTCTTGAGGATAAAATAAATGTTGAGGGGCTGGAAACAAGCGTGCGATCTGAAAGGACAAAGTCGCTAGATAGGAAGTGTTACAGGTGCAAGTGAACGAGATAGTATTGAACAAGACGCGCAAACGCGAGTTCCGGCAGGCTATGCAATGCTGCCAACGAGGCTCGACTCGGGTTAGTTCCTACAAAATACAGCTTAATCTACATCAGAGCAAGGTTTGGTGAAATATGGCCTGTCAAAATGAGTAAGCAGGAATGAGGTGAACTATGAATGAAAGCAGTACAAATGTGAAACCCTAACTGGGTTGTACCCCTTATGGGATACCCCACTACAGCCTACACAGCAGTATAAGCTATAGATATGTTCTGACATGGCCCGCAGTGTAACAAAGATTGGCGCCTGGTAACGGGCGATTGATGGTGGAGGCCTGGTGCACAGTATTGTACCGGTACGCGTTGGAGCCGATTGCGGTTGCACACAACCCATTTGCTCGTGATTATAAAGCACATATTCTATGGACAAGATTACGGATACCGACTGGAATCTACAATATCTATGTCGCTTTAAACCATGTATTGTAACAAATGAAGCTATTGATTACAAGTGACATTTGTTTAAGCCAGATTCATGACGACATGCTCTTATGCTTAGACAAGCACAATTTCGGAATCACAGCCACTAACAACAAGGATAAAATTGCTTGTTTGTTTAGCGGGTGAGCGCAACCATAACCCCCTAGGTTAACATGCATGTAACATTTCCTTATAATCAATCAGGGATCTCCAATGCATCTTTGACACCCCTAGGGCTGACGCTATCAGACTAAATAGTTTGATTAGTTTGATGAATTAGATATATGAACCACTGTCCCCTGATTTTTCAAATTAAGTGATTTCTGAACCATGTTTGACTCCGAATAATAGTCTTTACATGCCTATTTTTTCTGTTAAGTGTGTTAGGCTTATATGTTAGTGAGCCCTGAGTTCAAAGAGTATCGATTATGTGGGTCCTGAATGCAAGTTTATTGAGAGGAAGTTTCTCAAAAATCTCCTCCCTGTATACCCACCTTCGAGGTGGCTTCGAGTGCCAGCAGGTGAGTAAAACAGACTGCACCAGCTGGAACACCTGAATACACTTAATATGCGACAGGCCCTCGTAAGTCAAAGAAATTTGTCTGATTTGCGTGAAAAAGTCTGAGATTTCACATTACTTTTTAGGGTGTACCCAGAGAAATTCAGAATTTCTATGGCCTCAACTCTGTAAAAATCATAATTTTTATAAGGTCACTCTGAAATTTCAGATTTTTTCGGGAGTGTACTCTGATAAATTCATAGTACAAACGAGTACCGACTCTGATTGAATGTACCCGTGCGCCGACACCCTGGATTAACAGTGTCACATTGTACCTGTACCGTCAATCACGTGAAATCTATCACAACTGTCAAGTTCTGTTTGCGACGCGCCGCCCTGCCGCGCGATGTTTTTCTCGTACGGCTGGATGTTTCCCCCGCCCTGCGGCGCGATGTCACCCTCAGTGTAAGCTCCATCTCACACCTTGTTAGAGCACTGATTGGTCTTTTTGGCAGCTTTTGACTGCCATCACGAACTCCACCATCACCAGTGTCCAAGATGCTGTAACAGTTGCCACCCATGTAAAGGTGATGGGCAGGAAGACGGTGCCAACAAGACCTGCTGGCACAGACCCTGAGCTTTGATTGGTCCTTTTGGCAGCATCGTGTACCACGATGCCACAACATACACACTCGAAACATTCCTCACAGCATTACACGGCAGACGCGCCTCGTCGTTGCCGTGCATGCTAGGCAACCACCCACCCAACTTATGGATGGCCTATAGTGGGTTATACAGGGCCATCCTCTACGAGCTAGGGTTTTATCCACATCCCTCAGCTCAGCTTCAACTCACTTGGCCCATCCAGTGGCCAGTTTAGCAGCCTCAAAACCACCTCTCGTTCCTGCTCGGCAGGCTCTCTCAGATCCCCGCCATGGCTCAGCCCGACAATCCCACTACCTACGATGACGACGACCCTGATTCACAGCATGCCCTACCAGGCTTAGACTTTTTGCTCAGTCAACTAGCACTCGAGAAGGCAGCACACGCCGAGCCCGATTCTATCCCCACCCAGAAGGAACCTTCAGCACCCGTTATCTCAAATCCCGACCCTGTGGCAGAGACGATTGCGGAACCAACTATTGCTTCGGCATCACACCATCCCACTCAGGCCACGGCGCAAACCATCTGGCTCAAGCAGGCAACCTTGAGCTTCGCCAAGCCTTCATCCTTGTCTGCCAACGTCAACAACTCTCTCGGCTCGTCTGAGCGTCCGCGTCCTCGCCTCACCATAAATCTGGCCAAGCTCATAAAAGGACTCTACAATGATGCAATTGACAAGTTCAAGAGTCATTGGTAAGCACACTTCCCCTAGCTTCAAATCACTAAAACCACCTTGGGGTTGCCTGCCTTCAAATGTACTATTTGTGTAGCTCATGTTGGCGACGGAGGCAAGTGCGAGAGACGCGGGAAAGGCGCCACGGACTTGCAGACCCAGTTGTTTCGTAAGCACGCAGGCACTGCAAAGCACAAGCTGGCGATGGCGAGACAAACAGCTGTGCAGGAGTGCAGTTGCGGTGTGAGGCAGCCGCAGATCGACCAACATCGCGCCACGGTGGACGGAGAGCAGTTGTGCGTCGTCGCCCTTCTCGACTCATTACTGTTCATCAGCAGGTCCGACGCGCCCAAGAGGATGTGGGTGAAAATGGTGCGTTACCTAGCGGAGAAGGGCGTGCCCGGCTTCCCGAAGAAGGGGTACGGCACCTACTACACCACATGAGTGCAACTGCCAGAAGCTATTTAATACACATCGGTGTGTCTATGCTTTATCTCGATAATAATGTTCTCACTATTGTTTCCATGTGCAGATATGGCTTCGGTGAGCTAATGCAAGCGACTTCAACATGGCTCCAGACAACCCAGCTAGAACACGTGCTGTCGTCGCCCTTTGTCGGCATCGCGATTGACGAGAGCACAGATAGGTGCAGCTGGAAGCACCTGATCCTCTTCTTCACGTTCATCCGTGACAACAAGCTTGTCACGAAGTTCATGGCGTTACTCACTGTGGAGAACCGACGCCGCTTCTCTTCTATTTTTTCTGCTGTCACAACTGCAGGCAGTCAGGATCGACCTTCAGGGAATCGCGGGGATCAGCACCAACAGTGCCAACGTCTTCTGGGTAGCAAGTCTGGCCTCACCACACGCCTCCGCCTGCACATCCCCCATCTGGTGTCATCCCACTGTATCGCGCACAGGTATGTCTTGTTGAAAGTAAAGGGAAGAAAAGGCGTGATGACTATCGAGAGAGCTGGGTACAAGTAACAAAAAAAACATATACCCTACATTAGCTACCTCACTAAAGCCTACATATCATTATAACATAGACATGTAGTTT